GGATTAAATACATTAGTGTTACTCTTATACTTCCAATTATTACCTAACCATGCAAGTTACAATAAACATTAAGTGAGCTTTTCATTTTTCCAAGCTATTTCTGTAGGATAATGTACAAACATGGAAGGACTGTTGTCTACCCAAGCGTAATAACCTTTCTATCATAACCAAGGGGAGAGAGTGTCAGACAGATGACCCCAGGAAAAGCTTAGCTCGTAAGTAAATTCACAGCTTCATCAGTTAGATATAAAGAGCAGTGAGTTTTCAGAAAGGCCTTCTTAAAATAAATCAGAGTCACACCCTGCATTTTCACATTTTTTTTTGGCACTGATTTCAGAAAGAGCAAGAACTGAACCTGGAAGGGCCAAGAAGAAAAAAAGGACATTCTGATAACGACCAGAAGATCGGCCCCCATTCTCCAGGATACAGGGCCAAATCTGAGTAAGATAAACAGAGAGTTTCTATACCCATTTCTCACAACTGGCTTTTTCAGTCAGAAGCTCAAGTAGATAACACTAACAACCAAATCCTAAAGATGTTTGGATGAATTATGTGGCAGAAAGAGAAGTGGAAGAATTGGCTAAAGTTGACATATTTGTACTCACTTTTAGGAATGACGACTTTCTCTAAAAACTATTTGTATTGTTTTTCTTCCTCTATTTCAAATACATGCTTAGGATAAAATCCTGCATTGACATATTTGAGCATAACACTAGTGCTTTTCATAATTAAAATGACTTTTAATTCTGTAATAGGCAATTATGTTTTAATATCTGTTAATCTAAAACTTAAAATTCTCAATCTACTTGGGTCCTCACTGAATGCTAAAAAGCCTTTGTTAACCTGAGTTAAGTCAGTGCTGCTTCGTTCTGAATTATAACACCAGTTTATGCATTGGGCATGATATACACTCAGGCAAACAGCATGCATTCTGCTTTCAGAGTGTATATTGGATTGTAAAAATCCAATATGTTTACAAACATTGGATTGTAAAAATCCAATATAGATAATATCTAATCCATATAGATAATACCACAGTTTAATTCTCCTTTTTCCTTAACCTAAATCAAATACAAAAGTCAAAGATACCATGCATGAGGTTTTGCAAACACAAAGTAAAAAGTAAAATTCCTGAGCTCCTGAATCAGTAATCAGAATTTGTCTTTAATACAGATACAGAAAACTACAAAATGTGTGTGTAGCTCTGCAAGCATATATTTTATACACATATGAAATATGTATAGTCCTAAACTTTCACAGGGACACACACACAGCACCTGGTGTAATTAAAACACTTTCCCCGTGTTTGATAAAATCTGAAGTACAATGCTATAYCACAACTGTTAGTATCATTTGTATATACATAGTTATTTTAATAATTACATGATAACGCTGACCATAACAATGCTATTGCAGATGCACTGAGAAGCATTCAAGTAATTACATCTTAATAACAAGACCTCTTCACATTGCCAATTGTYGACGCTCTCTCGAGGCCTGGGCAGGTAGAAGCTTCATTTGATTGCACAACATTTAAGGCTGCATTTGTTTGCCTTCAAACAGGACGTGAAACATGTAGAGTTAAGAACTACCAGTGACTGTGCAAAACACTTTTGGCCAATGCAAATGGGAGAAGCAAACTTATTGTGCAACTCTTAATGACTCTAAGAGCCCAGCTATAAGGAAGTGTCTAATATTCCTTCCAGTTGCTTRTAACTCTTGGGTACCTTGAGCTTCTGTCCTGAAGAACATCACCAGTGTGGTTTTAAGGGTGTCATTGCAGAGCTGGCTCTTCGTACTCTAAGTCAAAAATTTTTGCTACCACTTCTATAAGCTTCATGAGATGGATCCATTTCATGATTTAGGTGTTTTTTTTTTTTCAGCTTAGTGATGATCTGCATGGTCGACACTGCATGGTTGCACACTGTGGCACCACCTAAGAATCATGCCCTTTTAACTCTTGYCAATGAGATATTAAAGAGGAAAAAGGGGTTTTTTTTGTAAAATAAATATTTAAATAACTAAAATAAATCTAAATGTGACAAAACACCAAAAAGAGCTGCAGGTAAAAGATAACATTATGAATTTGAACAGGGAAGTAGTAAAAGAAATCCAAATCTTTCTATTTGAACAAACAATCACACCTCCCCTATGCCAGTTCCAGCAGTGCAGAGCAATTGAAGATACTGTGCTCRTAGGCCAGGGCTATTGTCTTATGGGTTTATGTAGTCTGCAGTAGACAACTGTATTTTGTAACAATAATAATTATAATAAGGATCTCAGTATTATCAGAACTCCTGCTAAGCAACTATAAAGCATTTTGATGGCCTTTCCATTCGTGTGGGGCTCTGAACTGCATCAGTTACTCTCTTCCACCACGTGCCTGTTCTCTTTCTGTGACTGACTGAACACAAAAGTCAGGAAAGCTGATGTTGGCCACGAGCCATTTTGATATGACCTTTTTATTTAAATATTTAAGGCACATTGGCAAATCCTGAAGCTTCATATTCAGTTCCTCAGCTGGACAGAACACTCATATGTCTGGCACTTTTTTCTACAGGGGATTAAAGTGGACCTTTCTTTCTGTTCCCTTGTTTTCCTAGACTACRTGATCACATCCATCTATAGTCAACTGTGGCACACACCTCCCTCTGATCAACAGAAACAGAGGGAATTACAGCACTTGTTTCCTCCAATTCACAACAAATTTTAGAGATAGCGTAACATACAGAATTAACATGCTTCAAATSAGACAGGACTTTTTGCAAAAATATTCTTTCTATAAAAGGAAGGAAGAAGTTTCTATTAGTCTCTGCTACTGCACTCACTGCCAAAGCTATTATTTTAACACAGCTAGAATATTGTTGTATTTGTTGCATTGTTCATGATATCCTTGGGTTGTAGATTTTCTTAATATCTTAAAACCATATAAATCAACTAACATAAAAGGAGAAATGTTTTACTGAGACACTTCAGGCTGCTGCATCCAGGTAAACATTCAAAGTGAGGTACAGGGAGCTAGAATCAGGCTTAAATGATGATTGTGTGCCATTTCAGTTCATATGACCGAAATGATTTTTATACCTCTTATTCAAATGCTCCTCACCACCCCTGGTTTGCAAAGAAGCTGGAAAACACCTAGTTTTCCCTTAGGTGTGTAGAAAGTGGTGTTTCTTTCAAATCAGAGACTGAAATCAAAACTCCCAGATCCAGCCACACATGGTCATAAAACAGTAGTTTGCATGAGTTCCTGCAAAAGCAAATTTCAGATAGTTGCAGTTGTAAGCAATGTCATGCAAAACTAAAGTTGATGAGTTTTAACATTATTGCCAAATTCCCTCCAAGAGCCCATGAATAAAAACACTGCTACTGCTGAAAATCATCACCCAGAAATGTGCAAACAAGACATTAGAAAAAACTGTAATCTATATATGTTTAAGAAATTTGACTTTTCTTAGAGCTTTGAGCTGAGACAGTTCTAGAACAGTACTTCAAGGATGTGTACAACTACATGATCTTTCTTTTTCTCTTTTGCAAAGGTCTAACGAGACCTTTCCCAAATGGCTCTACTAAWTTTTTATGGTACTCTTTACCACAAGGCTTTAATGGGATGGAATTGCCAATTCTGCTGTAAGCAAAGAACATGAAAGTAATAGTTTGCAAGACATCCCAAGCCACTATTAACACAACAGTCTTCTTACGAAGCTCTTCAGTTAACATTAAAATAACGTTTCAGATTTGCTGGCCATCTGAAGTTCCAAAAAGTARGTAGGGTATTTAAAATTTAAGTATATTAAAAGCTATTTACTATATTTTTCAAATTAAAATACAAATTCAGTAAAGATCCAAAGCAGAGCATCTGAGATAAGATTTTTACATAAAAAGAAATTATAATATACCTTATAAATAGATGTCTATTTCTCCTTGAAGAACTAATACCAGCAACAATCGGGAAGAGYAGTACACCGTAGAAAAGCCAACAGGATCAGATTAACATAAGATTATTTTATTTGATGGTCACAATTCTTACAAATCACTGGTGTTTCAGCTAAAACAGTCTTCAGCAGATTAGTTGCCAAAGCTTAATTTTCATGGGGTCAATGCGGTAAACACTGCAATAAGATGAAAATGGACTGTTCACACCCACCTTGGATCATGTGCTTGCTTACTAAGGAAGCTAGCAGTTCCTTAGTGAAGTTCTTACAGTTTTTTTTTTTTTTTTTTTTTTTTTTTTTGATAGAATAGGTCATATGAACATTTCAGAAAAGACTTTTGAAAACTCAGAAGTGACTTTCAGTGATATTTGTACTTCAGAATCACCTAGGCAACTTCGGAAATTTCCACGGGTACTAGAGGGGAATTTGCTGCTATCTCACTGTCTCAGTGCAATTTTCCATAGAAAAACACTTTTAATCAGAAATCAAGTTTACAGATTCAAAGCACTACTCAGTGTGACACCACTCAACATTTAGAGTTCAAATGCATTTGAACTTGTCCAGGCCACTGAAGATGACATCTTTGCACAGAGGCATTACCAYACCATACTAACACAACTAAGCCTTAAAGCCCAGATCCTTTGAATTGTTTCAGATGGGTAGGATGTATGTCTGTAGGAATGTCTGCCTCAAGGGGCCTCCATCGCTGCGAGGTTTTATTGACAAGAAACAACTTGGAGAGCTATTTTAATATGATGTACTGCAAATAATTACTTAGAATATCTTGCATGTAAGAAAATACTGACAATGAGTTAAATGCTCAGCAATTATTTGTTATGTATCTAAAGATCAAATATTTAAGTCTTATTTACCTTAGATTTTCTCAAAATTCTTGGTTTCTGATGTTACTGCATTGCTCTTATGAAAGAAGCAGAGCAACTGTCCAAGAAATTCTCCCTGCAACAACACACCCTGGAGCCTCCCTCATTCCCTTTAATCAGGTGTTTTTCTCTCACTTCCCTGTTGGCCCGTGTAGCTCTCTGCCCATGGAATAGCCACTCTGGCTCATCAACTCAGCTGAAAATTAACCCCTCCTTAAGGAGAACAATAATTTTCCAGAGGAATCAGTCCAAGAGATGGTCCAAGTTACTCCAGAATTGCACCCAAACTAGCAACACTGCAAGGGAGTGAAAAAAGATAATCAGAGGAGCAGAAGGATCAGTCTAAGAACACTGTCTGCTGACTATGAAATCACACCCTAAAAGAAATGACCCTGCTAGGYTGGACATTTTGTAGCCATACGAAAACAGTTTAAGGCCTTGTCTTTGAAACATAGGACAAAAATCTATGTTATGATCTGTTGCTTAATTTATTCTAACATTGATTTAGAAAAGAACTAGAAAACAGAAAAATTATGGATTATTGATAATACCTATTTTTGGACAGCTGTGTTATTGTTTACACAGCGTTAATAAAGAACAACCTGCTTTCTTTATGCACCTCTTCCTATTTCCTGTCTGGCGTGTGGGCCACATGGAAGGAGCAACAGATTCAGTTAATGCATACACCTCGGGATGGTTTACAAAACACTTTAAGGCAGAACGCTTACAAAATAACCCATTTCAACTGCCTAGTTTTAGAAGTTCATGTAACTTTTAAAAATTTGAACATACCTAACACCYGTTTGCTTCATTGTGAGATTTGTTATAGTTACAGAACTGGAAATCTGGAGATTGTGTAGAAGTGGAGTAATCTGATTAAAAAACTTTGCTATGCTGATTCAGCTCCTCTCTAGTTCCCTCCAAAATCCAAGAAACCTATCAATGCCACCCAATTTATCAATATTCAACCATTCCCCCCAAACTCCCCCGACTCAAGGTGTGATTTCCTTTCTAATATCTCACCCCGGCATTCTTGCTCCATCTTCAGACCTTGCATTCATGTTTCTATTGCTTGCTCTAAAACAGTGCCAGATGCATGCTTTGGAAAAAATAAAGGAAAATAAAAAAAGAAAGAAGAAAGAAAAATCTCTCATTAAGTCATCAAGTTCGAGGAGCTGCAGTTTTAATATGAATTTTCAACATTGTGAAACTGTTCGTGATTATAATAATAGTAATAAAAACCCTCACAAAACTTGGTAATAGTTACAAGACTTACCCATGCTGGCCACACTATAATCCATCAAGGCTCTGCAGTTAATCATCTTGCTGTATTTGAGTATGGCAAATATGCATCCTCCCAGACACACCCGCATACACAGGGAATGGAAACTTTTGTCAGTATTTTCCTTGCTTCTGTATGCAATCTTTCATTTAAAGTGTTTAACTTGTTTGGCCTGTAAATGTAAATATTGCAGGAATCTCTAGCAGCAAGCTATAGCTCAGCCTTCCCAGTCTGCCTCATCAGCATTAAGCTATGTTGCATATGTAACAGGACTCCTGAAATGTCACATTCTACAAGATCGTCAAATATTTAAATCAACTGAACATGATCTGTGTGTGGAATTAAGCACCTCTCAACTCTGAACATAATACAGTGCAGACCTCTCGTTCATATTTACCRCAGACATTTTTTTCTGCAAATTATTTCGTCACTCAGTGTCACAGAATAAATAAAACKAGTATCCCTGCTCAGCAGTTGTAAGGAATTTGAAAGCTCCTTCACCATCTAAACTACACAGCTTTCTTGCCAGCCTTGCTAAAAAGAAATGAGCAGTACTCAAATTACAAACATAATGCATTTCCTGCTCTTGATTCTAAAGGCTGGGRGAAGAAAACTTTGAAATCCTGAGCTGAAATTGTTCACAATTTCTATCAGCCTTGTGCACTCCAAGCGGATGCCTGCGAAGGAGCTCGAGTGTCACTGGGAMAAAGCGGCTGAGCCGCCATCTGCTCTCTTCTCGCAGCAGGGATTGTTTTATGTGGCACGCTGAAGAGGGCCTGGAGAGTGGGAAAACATTGTATTCTAAATAATATTAGCCACTTCTGAAAACTCTCCAGGATATCTTTCTGCATTTTTGTGTGCCTAAATTCATCACAACTTGTGACCACTAAGTCACACTGATATTTTTAATGGACCTCCTACAAAATAAAAGATGAGAGAAAAAAAAAAAAAGAAAAAAAGAGATATTTTCATAGCGGCATAAACTTTGCCAAGTTATAAACTGTGGATATTTAAAGCTACAAGCCTAGAAACATATTGCATAAGATCTCTGGTTTGCGTTTATCATTTTTTGGTCCGTTTTAAACATTTGCAGTGAGCAATCTGCCAGTCAGAAAGGATGAGGAAGGTGGCTCCTTGCAGGTGGGCCCGTCAGGTGAGAGCAGGGCTGGGCGTGCGGGCAGGCAGCTCACGGGAGGGCGCTTCGCGGGACAGGCCCCACACGCACCCTGTATTTAGCTCCGCAGACTTCCCAGGTGCTCGGCACCTGCAAGGGCATGAAGCTGGACCCAGTTAAGAGAACTGATGCTCCTTCATCAATCAGATCAATGCTCTTCCAAACTTCAGCCCCACAAGATCACTRGCTTCCCCAAGAAGCAAAGTTGCTTAGTAAGAAACATGACCCCTAATGAAATCCAGGCCCAATCTCTGTGAATGCTCAGACACCCCTATTTATGTCTATTCTCTCAGCAGTGGAAATTCTTATTTAAATTCCTTTAACTAAAATATTTTAACAATGGGAAATAGTAAAAAATAAAAGATAAAATCATATTCTAGTCTTGGTAAAAAGTGTTGGTGTTAGAAACAAAATACTGAGTCTATTCAAGGGCAGTGTCAYGTAGGTAATGATCACAAATATGAAGCACTGGGTGTGACTGCTTGCACTTCTTTTGTTTTGATCTGGCCTTGGCTGTCYGGGAGAAACAACATTCTGGGACTGTGCACTCTTAGTCAGCTCAGAAAGGACATGTCTGTTACTGCAAGACAACTCATGCCATGCACAAACTGTCAGGAATTGAAAGACCTGGAGTGAGCCTACAGTTTGTGTCACAAATATGTTTCTGAACTACACAGACAAGTGCTTTATGCTCCAGCTCTCAAAGTGAAAATAGATTTCCCATTATGCTTGCAGTCCAACTATCAAAATCACAGAAAAGGTAAAACATAAAACAGTTAATACTGTGATACATGTGTATAATGAACCCCATACCATCAGTAKTTTTCCTTTTCTTTTATCCTTTTGCCTGCCTGTTTAAAAAGAGCTGTGGAGTTCATGTGCACACAAGTTCAGATGTGCACTCAGACCTGCCTGTGCTCTCTCCGTAGGCCTATATATGAACAAAGTGCTAGAAATCGACTGCATTAAATTTGATAAAGACAATGCTACTTTTCATATAGTTATWACACAGTTGCCAGAAAAGTCTCAACAACTCAGACCTTCTACAAAAAGCAGAAATTTTCAAGTGGAAATTCTGCAGTTACGTCCCTACCATAGGTGCCCCCTCTCCTCTTGTGCTATTCCCCTCCTGCACGTGTCCGTACCCTCAGCACGACTCATTCCCACGCCCAAACAACCTAYAGTTCTTTCCCACAAAGCAGGCTCACAGCAAGCAGAACCACCCTTACCATCAATAGAAGGATTTTTGAGAGGAAYATGACTTGAGATTTGTACAAACATGAACTAAGATCTGCAGGATTTGTATGAAGTCATGGGCTAGTTGGTAGCATCTAGGAACACTATTTTCTTATCCTGGCTGAGATGCAACCAGTTGTGTCAGAGCTACACCGCAGCCTGAGTTGAGCAACAGAATAACGTGAAAAAGCAGCAGTCTTCAAAGCTGTAGGGCATAAGTGACATAATATCATTTACTACATAAATATCTTAATAGTGATATTTACAGATCATAATAATTTTTATTTACCTATATTCAGTGGTCTGCAAAGCCCTTGGCTTATCATGAGTAACTTCATGAAACAAGATTTAAGTGGCTCATTATAGAAGGCATACTCACTTTATAAGAAATATATGGAATCACAAAGGTAATAATAGTCTGAAAACCAAATTCTTCACCTACGAAGTTACCACATTACTTTGGTGTAAGAAATAGGCAACCTGCTCATCTACTTGGAAGTTACCCACTGAAACCGTGTGCCCTCAGATTCCAGTTTTATGGGCAGCAGAAGAGAAAGGACATCAGAAAACTACTTTACATAAAAGAATGGATGTCGTCAAAGACATTAGGCTGCAAAAGGTAAAAACAAGACCACGCATCTTGCACACTCTGAGAGCGTTCTTGTAACTGCTCCACACATTATACGAAGAGCCGCAGCTCACACTGAGCAGTATAACACCAATATTCCTCATTACTGATGTAGCGAACGAACGGCTTTGACTTCTTTGAATTAGCAAAAGCAGGAGAGAAGTCAGGAGATCCAAAAAACTCCACAGGAGGGGTGGAATCTCCACTTCCTAAGTGTAACCCAAGGCCAGCATTAATTTCTCTTCTCTGTGCAGTCAGAGCAACTGCATCATACCCACCACTCAGGAAAAATAAACTACTAGGGAACCTTATCACAGTATTCTGGGCTCTAAGGTCCAGCAGAAAAGACTCTATTCTTTCCCGTAATGCCCACATGCCATGCTACTCTGGCCTGTAAGAGTTYCCAAGGCACATAATAAAAACAATATGAGACAGGCAGGCCTCTATTGCTGGCCAAGGCAACAAACACAAAGAGCTTGTCTGAACCTTGGGGAATCCTTCCCTAGCAGCACCACTACCATGTCAGACCAGCCTAGCAGAGGGAGCTTCACCTCTTAGAGATGCTGAAACAAGATGGGGCAACTCTGTCATGACCAATTTTCTAGGTGAAGATGCTAATTATCCTCAGGTTTCAGTCACCATGAATGAGGCTCACCATCTCCAACAACTCCATTAAATTATTCCTCATTGTTCTGTGTTGTCCGGGTAAAGAAATYAAAAGATGCAAAGCAAAACAGGTTGATTAAACAATGTAACGTGATATAAAGGAGAAGATCTCACTGCCATCATTTAAAAAAAAAATAAAAATAAAGACACTGTCCTTCACTGTCCATCTTCTTGAACTAGGTTATGRGAATTTTGAACCCTCTCTTACTCCAAATGTTGTTTATTATTGTGAGTGGTCCAAGTCAAAATTTGGCTGTCACATATCTAAGGTACAAAAATAGCCTCTGATTTAGGCCAACCTAGATATATTACTAGAAACCTGGAATTGAAAATAATTGGGGGGGGGGGGAGGGAAAAGTCCTAATTCAGACACTGACTTTTCCTCACCAATAAAGACATGTTTATGCAATGAACTGAAACCCTGATCTGCAGACTAAGTAAGACTTAAGGTCCTGCACATTTGTTTTAATTCTTTCATAACTTGTGACAGTTGATAAAGAAAGATGATGAGAAATTTACCAGGAAATTCATTCTTACTGCATTTTAGAAATGAATTTTAATACTTTATATAAGTTATATACTTATGGAAATAAAATAGAACCCCTGAATCTTTAGAAAAAGCCTAATGAAGAATTYAGAAAGTTGAAAGAGAATCAGTGTTGTCCACGTAACCACATAAAGTTGTATTAATYCTTACTGATACTGCACAGAAATATGAATCAAAATATTATGAGGCATGAACCTGTCACAAATCTCCTGTACAGGTAATTATAAAATATAAAGTACCAGCTGGGCTCTAAACGGATCATCATACAAAATGGAAAGATTTAAACATAAATTATAGTGTTTAATCTGCTTTCCCCTTTCAGAATTGTATGAAGATTTAATTCCAGGACCAAACTGAGATCCATCACAATCCCAGAGCCAAGTTTTCTACGAGCTGAGCACTAAGAGATTCATAGCAAAATGCTCGTGGTTCCATTATCTATTTGGATAAAACAGGGGTAACCACAACAGTGACTTCATCAGCAACTGTCAAGTGTTTTTAGATGAAAAAAATATAACAATTTGGTTCAAGGATATTCTTTTCCTTATTTAAAAGGAAAAAAATGCATTAAAAGACAATAGTGGGAAAAGCTTTCAATGCTTAATAGCAGAAAAATCACAGCTATAACTAGGGGAAAAGTCACCTTGAAATGTAACACAATTCCCAGACTATTCAAGGTCCAGAAGAAATGCACTTACAGCTGAGAACTACATAAACATCACAACCAAGAAAATAGCAGGACAGTAATGTGAGAAAGTCAGAAAGTAAAACAGAGCACTAGGAGAAGGGAAGGGAGGAAAGACAGCTCAAGATTTCTTTGGTAGAAGAGGCCCTGAATGAATCTTGATGTGCAGATAATATTTTGAAGTATTCCTTCTAACACTAGAGAAACGACTGAAGCACAGCCTAAAATGAACTAACAAAACCAAAAATACATCCTACCTTTAAAAAACTAGACGTTCAGCTGGAAAAGCCCAGAAGACTCCTCCAATTCCAAACAGATTCTTGCCTAACCCAAGGCAAACTGCCCTTCCAACCTTATTTGCACTCTTCTGAGAGGTGCCAAGAGATTCCTGCAGCTGCTGGAGGTTTCAAGGCCCTTAATCAGTGCTGTTTAAAATAAGCCTCACCTGGCACACAAAACAGGATGAATTTGGGAATAGGAAAAAAAAAAAAAAAAAAAAAGGATAAAAACACATCATACTCTAACAGAACATGGTACTATCTCCCATACTACCTGCAAGACTTTTCTATATTAGCTTGTGACGATTCCTCCCTACTCCCAGGAGCGGATGCAAACCTAGTTGCACCCTGAGTTACTTTGCTCCATTCTTACTCTCACACCCTCATGAACCTGAGCACTAACTCACCTGTGACCAGTCCAGTAGATCTGGCCAGTTCAATGTGTGGCTCTTAGCTCATTATTTGTCTCACCTACTGTACATTTTCAGCAAAATTCTTGAATTCATGGTATTGTTCTCCCTAACAGGAATTTTTTATGGCTGCAATTCTGTTCTCCATTTTCTTGACATCTTTATTTCCTTTTCTTTGAAAGAAATCACACATCTGGTATTCTGCAGTAATTAACACATGCCTTTCCTTTTAACCCTTGTTCTGCTATTTACTCCAGAGTTTACACAAATACATCTTTTTCAGACCAATCTTGATACTTTTTTTTTTTAACAAAAAAAACTACATTTTCAGTTCCAGATACAATTCTACTATTAGAGCTAGAGTAGTTAGAAATAAGAATATACAAAAATATCAGCAAACTCTTAAGATATTTGTAATGTGTTCCTGAAGAACCTGATGAACACTGTCCTCCTTGGAAAAAAAAAAGATGTATATACACACACTCACACACACACACATATATATATATATATATATATATATAAAATATACTTGTCCCTTGGAATGATCCTGAGTACACAACATTATGCAAAAGAAACTGGCCTAAATAATATTTACCAAGATTGACTTCAGTTTTTCGGAGTGTTCTAATAATGATCAATTGGGCTAAACAAATTATCTTAAATTTCTTAAGAAAAATACAATTTTTTTTAAAAAAATGCACTTCTGCACAGAGATTTTTCTAGTAAAACTACAGATACAGCACATGACATCTACTTAAACAGAGTGTTTTATTCATTTGCTCAGTCCAGTTTTCTATTTTGGTGCAAAGGCCTAGAAATGAATTCTGCATGAGGGATAAATCCCAAATAACAATACTTAAACCACGATCCAAAGCAAGAAGCAGCCAGGTACACAAGAGCACCAGTGCTGCAGCCCAGTAAGGACACCTGGCACGCACAGCAGCCACAACAGGCATGTTTTATTGATTATAATCTGCCATATGACAGCCCCTCAGCTATTTATGTACAATTAGCACCAAGTTTCATCCTGGGCTATTGCCACTTCAGATTTAATTTTACTTGGATCCGACTACACATGAATGCCCCTTTTACAGTCATATTCCCCAGTGTGATAGACAAAYGTCTCTTAAAACTGAAAGGATATATTTTAAATGATGCATAAAAATGCTGCAATTCATTATTTGTACCATTAATCTACTGCCTTCAAAAACACACACACCACTAGTGTCAGGTTCAGAATCGTTCCGGTCAAAGATGTAGACATGAATAAGTCACATGAGGGCCTTCCTTAACCTTTCAGCCACAAAATGAGGCCAAGTTAATATTTTACTGTGTTAATTTGCACCTGTGCTATAGCCAGCTCAAGAGAAATGCCAGGGGGCCAGGCAGCTCCCTCTTAAAATGCAAGGACCARGCCCCCTAAGTTTTAAACCATTTTCTCAAGTGATATTACATTATTCCTGCCCCCAACGCACTTGAATAGCCATCCCATTTGAAAAAAGAGGGCAGTGAAGCCCTACAGGTAGCTGAATTTCTTCAAAATTTGCAGCAATATTCTGCAGTGTCTTTCCAACAAAAAACCACAAATATTCAACTATTAATCCCGTCTTTCATTATTTCAAACCAACTTTTTCAGAGTTTGCTAGAAAATGGCATTCAATTGTTACCAGTCAAACTCTCTGAATATGTAGGTACCAAAGGCAACAATTAAAAGCAAAAGCTTCGACTGACAGTTATGAGGGACACACAAACCCAAATGAGATCCAGGCTCTGCTGCCTCACAAACCAAGCAGAGCACAGTGTGGAGCTTTAGATGCTACCTGCTCTATACAGGTTTTGTACTGGGTTCATCACTGTAGGATGCGAATGCCTCATGTTGTCGTTCTCCTTTCACTGCCCTGTGGTCATCGTACTGCTGAGCTGGAATATCATGGGAGACACTGTGAACCAAAAGGTTCAGGGAACCAAAAGGTTCAGGGGACAGTACATCACATCAGAATATCATATCTTAATATGCTGTACTAATTTTTTTGTATTTCTAAGGGAAGTGCAAACACTGTAAATCAAGTTTTTGCATTAGTGCGATGAGATCCCCAAAGAACTAATGAGGTGTGATGAGAGAAATCTGGAATGTGAGTGTGCAGGAATCCCTCTGGAAAATAACACTAGCACTGTATCCTCGTGTCTGCTAAGTTCCTAGCTCTAGGTATACATATACTGACCTCCTTTTTTTAACAAATGGGTCTAACTAAGATAGTCATGTTTGGACTCAAATGAACATCAAAGATACCAACTATTAATACAGTGAAAARAWTTTTTTTTTTTTCTTAAGGCTGGAAAACTTCTTCCCAAATGCATTAAGTTTTTTTTACTTCGGAACAAATCTGCTATCCTAAGCTAGTTTTTTTCACAGATCACTGGCTGACTGTGGAAAGAATTCTAAATAATTTTAGTCTCCAACGGAGAAGTGATGACGGATCCCTTCTATCTTATCCAAGTAGGTCATAAAGTCTCCCAGCCACTGTCAGCATTTGCTTCTTCTCATCTGTGGCCACTTGCTGGCCAGCAATGAATTTTAATTAAAATCCATAGCCAAAAAATGTAGCACTGTGACATGAACTGCAACGGGCACAGCTACTGCTAGAGATGACCTTCTGGAAGCTCAAGGAAAGCTAAACAAACAATCAGCCCCTGCGTGTCATTAGCCACCCTGCCAGGCTCGCACTAAACAAACCCGGGTACACAGATAGTATCCAAGCTACCCTGAGAGCAGCCACGGCTAATATTGGCAACTGAACCTCCATTGAAACACAGTCCCCCCGGAGGTCACATAAATCATCTCTGGCAGCACACTGAGTGTCTGTTCAGCACTGGAGAGGTAGTGTTCATTGCACGCTGTTTATTTCTTGCTCTGTCTTGAAAGTATCTAGCCCTGTTTTTAAAAAAAAACAAAAAAAGAAAATGGAATTTTTGCCTTCAAACATTTTCAGAGCTTGTCCAAGGTCGTTCCTAAAGAGCAATAAAAGGTCATACTTCTCTCTGTTTCTTAATGTGAGCGTGTATTTGACCAAGTAGCATGTTTTACAGTACTTCAATATCACCTTTAAGAGCATTATATGGCCTAAGTCTCACATGGCCTTCTATAGTCAATCGATACTACAGCAGATTTTTGTGGTGATTACTATCAAGTGCAACCAGAATTAGGATTTCAAAACTAACAATAACTTGTTCTTTGGCCCCCAAAAAAGAGGAGGATAGMGAGGGAAGAGTATTTCAGACATCTGATTGCTGGACAAAAATCAAATTACCCCAGCACACAAGGTAATAGGCTGGACCTTGAAAAAATAGGATTTCCTACACAAGCAGTGAAACTCTGCAAGCAGTTAAACGTCTGATTTCTTTCTTTTTTTCAGGATTGACAGAAAAGAGCATGACTAGGTTTTTACCTAGTCAAATCTAGCCKGGACACTGCGATTTAGCTCAGCATATTATTTTTATCCCTACCCCACAGATATGGGAACAGAGCTCAGGAAAAGTGGTGTCCATCCAAAAGGTCAAAGGGAGCAGTGGAAAGCAGGTCTCAGGTTTTCAGTCCTTTTTCCATTTGGTCAGCCTGTTTCCCCATGGACTTTATCACCATGATACCTTATGGAGAAGCTCATGAGGAAAGTGTAAGGCTAAGAGCCTCACAGGTTACACAGAGAGCCAACAGTGTAGCTGGACTACAGTGAAGCTGGACTGGTGTTTAGGTGATCTTCTGCCCCGTTTAATGCAGAAAACTGGGTGAGTATTTAAATTAGCCTATAACTACCTAAAAATTGAGTATAGAAATAACATTTGGAAAACTGCTGCATCTACTGCAAGACACTGTCATCWGCGAGCTAACTTTCTTTCCAAGATGCAATGTTAGCAAACACTGCCCATCACAAGACAGTGGCTGTGCAGGATACCAGCAAGCAGATGGCAGAAACAGTTTTCCAGAGTTGTGCAAGGCATTTCTGGAACATATTCCCAAACTTTGAGGTTATATTCCTGAGCCACATGGCTGTGCCATTAATTCCAACTAAGGGAAGACACGAGGGAAAACAAAAGGTCTTGCAGCTGAGGAACCACGAACAAAGCCTAGGCCTTTGCTTCACAGCCTTAAGTCATTTGGCATGCTTTAACTTTTCCTTCTCTCAAAATGCGCACAATAAAGGCACCTCGCCTAATCAATTTAAAATCATTTTAAGATTTTTGTGGCAAGGAAAACATTGGCATTTACTTTCCTGATATGACTACCATTAAGCATGTACCACTGGGCACCATCTGTAGCAACAGGGGTTCAAACTTAACTCATTAACAAAGTATAAGCAAATTCTGCTACGATAAGGAGCAAGCCATCCTTTYCAAAGAACCCAGTCCAAAACCTGCCTGCACGCCTCTTGGCTCTGTTCACAACTGTCAAACAATGTCCACTAGGTTGTTTTTTTTCCATACTTCCTTTTCAGTGTAAAGCTTAAAGCTAGTTCATGAAATGGGTCTGTCTCTATAGCACATTCATTCAGGATACACTAGGGAACTGTTACCTCATGCTGCTCAAACAAGTCACTGATTTGTTTACAGAAAAACTGCACTAAATAGCTGGCCTGTTGTCCTGACCCTTTACCCAGATCTCCRATAGCCGTTACTC